AAATAATCCACGATATGATACGGCCTCCCAAGCCTCTTACCATGGTAGGAGGACTGCACCGTACCGTCCCATGAACCTTCAAATAAAGATGCTGACCATCTATCTCATCAGATCATAATAACAATGCACTTGCGTGCGCTGCCAAAGGCTGTTTTTAGTTCGCGAAATGAAAATTTTTGGATGTCACATCAGATGTTTTGGGATGTTGGAAGGGGTTTTCGGATACTAATAAAAAAAACTAATTACATAGCTCGCTTGGAAAATGTGAGACGAATTTATTAAGTCTAATTAATCCATCATTAGCGCATGTTAGTTACTGTAGCACTTATGGCTAATCATGAACTAATTAGTCTTAAAACATTCGTCTCGTGATTTCGAACCAAACTGTGCAATTAATTTTTTTCGTCTATATTTAATGCTCCATGCATACATGTGCCGCAAAATTCAATGTGATAGTTTGGCGTGAAAATTTTTGGAAACTAAACTAGGCCTAACTGGCCTGCTACTGCTTCTTGCTGGTGATCTCCCATCATTCTGATTGATATCGGCGGATCCAACCGTCCAAGTGCAGAAAACCCCTTGTTGTACATGGTTCTAATGGTGGTCAAACAGAAGCGGGTCGTTGACTCGTTGTTTCTCCTGGGCTAAACCTCTCGATTGTTAGTGGTGGATAGCCAATAATTTAGATCCCGTACAGTAGAATACTCAATTTGATCCATGACTACCTCTTCCCCTTCTACCAATACCAGTTCTACATCAACATATACATAAAACTGATCATTTCTATCCACATTTCATGGTTTTTAGGCTCCAAAGACACCGTCTTGATCTCTACATAGCATTAGACAACTTTTAGTTGTGTTAGTTTTATGGTTACATCATACACATTTTCACTACAACAAGGGACAATGATAGGTCACATAAAATAGTGGTCCACTTTATATATCTTTTTCTATGTATATAACCACCGATGCAGATGCCTTATCAAATAATAAAAGTGCTAGCCACACCATATGTGTGGCTATGAAAAATTCACTATGCAAGTGGCAGGTTTGGAGGCATACCTACAATGCAAGTGGTATAATCTAACGGTTTGTTTAGTTGGCGAAATTTTTTGAAAAATGGTACTGTAGCACTTTCGTTGTTATTTGGCAATTAGTATCCAATCATAGTCTAATTAGGCTTAAAAGATTCGTCTCGTGAATTTCGTCTAAACTGTGTAATTAGTTTTATTTTTTATTTATATTTAATACTTTATGCATGCGTTCAAAGATTCGATATGATGAAGAATCTTGAAAAAATTTGTAAAATTTTAGGAACTAAACCGGCACTGAAACTAGAACTAGCTTGATTACGTGGATCTACATGATGTACTGGTACGACCCATGCATTTATTGCATTGCCATATAGCCACCAATACCTCGAGAGCGCCACGATCCGATGTGATGAGGATGTTTCTCGTAAGGACATAACAGTACTACTAGTACTATGCTCGGTTTCCTTTTATCAAAGAAAAGAGGTACTCCTATTTTCACTAGCTAGCTTCTCTCAACACCAGTGGCCCTAGCTCTGCCTACAAGCTAGGGTCAGGCAGGCCAGTGGTGGTGCGTGAACTGCTGAAGACGCGCGCCATGGCCAATACATGGCACTGTGAGCGAGCGCGCGGGCACAGAGTTTGGAAAGCCGTTCCACGACTTGACATCCGTAACCGTAACAGCTTTTATATATTCCGTTTTGGCCAACGGATCGGACAGAGACGTCGTACGCACATGCACTTGTGGATGGATGTGCGCGAGCATGCGAACTAGACAAAGTTGCCAGCGCAGCAGCCATGTACTTTTTCTCCTATCGATCGGAGATCTAAGAATCCGATTGTAAATACGAGTGTATATTAGTGTCATTCTTCGGCGCTATTTTAGCAATATTTTTCAGCGAAACAACAGTGGTCTTGTTCTTCAGCACTACTTCCGCAATGCTTTTCGACAAACGGATAATATTTTTCTCTCACAACAAATCAACATAAACATCAGCATAAGCCAAAGTTCAGCGAAACAATATTGATGTAGTGTCCACACATTGACAAATGGTTATAGAAAAAATATATTATACTAGTATCGAAATGCTTTGTCACGGTTCACAACAGTATTTTTTGAACACATACATAATTTAAAGAATTATTAATTGCTACGAGACAACCTAAACAAAAACTCATTGTTCATGTTGTCTGAGTCTCAGTAGGAGTTTCATGATAGTTTTATCTGCATTAATTAGGTTGCCCAATAGGTTATTATTATGACATGGCAATGCATTTAAGAGAGAGAAGAAATTAGTTTCATGGAGATAAAACTCTGTTGCCACGATTACTAACTCTTTATGAGTCATGAAATTAAATGCCTACGGTTAAATAGAATGAAACTTTCCATTGAAAGTGGGTGTCTTATCCAAGTTTTATTTTATTATGTATGATATGACAGTCTTGAAAACAACGATATGAAACTGTGCACTGAGACTAATAAATATTAAGTGCCACTGTAGGAGACCGCATGTAGGACAAGACTAATGTATACTCCCTCCATGTTCCAAAAGGAAGTTTGAAGTGTCTTAAGTCAAATATTTTAAACTTTGACTACTAATAAATTCTTTTGGGTTGAGTTTGAAAATACGAAAGTGATGTACGTAGATTCATCTCGAAATATAGTTTTATAAAAGTATAAATTGACTATATTTATAGCAAAAAATAGTGGTCAAAGTTAGTTTTGAGACCGCGTCGGTGTCTAAAATGACTTCCTCTAGGGACATGGAGAAAGTACTTTCTAAATGTGCAGGTATTGGTATAAGCACTCTGAAACACAAGGAAGTGTTGGACCCATTGTACTCCAGCACGGCAGCATGTATGTATCTGTCTATATGTCTATAGAGTTCACTAGATTAATTGATTCTTATATTATTACAAAGCTTGTTATCTACGAACTTTAGAACGTCCGAAGACATATATACATAGTCCAGTTCATCCGCACCTCCCTTATTCCACTCCACTGCAGTCTCAGACCTTTGTCTTCCTCCTTTCTTTCGTTTGGTCATCATTAGGCCAACATTTAATCTGTACCCGGCCAAGTGTTAATTAAGCAGCCAGGGAGGACAGGATCAGACTTGGGTGCTTGGCAAGCATCCAAGCATGTGAGGAGTGTGTGCAGCTTTGTCAAGCTAATAGAGGACAGAAACACCAGCACCACGGGCGGATCCAGAGTATTAGTATTGCTGTCACCTGTGATAGCAATGGATTACGTGAAATCGATGAAAAGTTATTGTACATATAATAAGAGGCAATGATACACATGACCATAGCATCAAATGGCAGTGACACTAATATTACATGCTTTGTGATTCTAAATTCTCCCTTGCCCACAGCATCTCTCTGCACGCCCTTGGGACAAAGCGTGTTCATGCAACAGTGAGACAGCCGCAATGGCAGCTGGGTCATCATCCCCAATGTGCAGCAGTGCAAGGGGATGTTATTCCAGAAAATTCCCCATTTGACAACCATATTATAATGCGGGATTTATTCCATAGCCGTAAAGGGTTCGGATTTCCCTATATATATGACACTTCAATTTTGATACCTAAACTGACACCACCATCCAATCTCAACACTAACCGTGTTACATGGTTCTCTGTCACTCTGTGTACCGGGTTATATATCAGGCTGGCAGACTTCGGGGCGATCAGGCCTACGCTTCGCGTCCCCCGAGCCGATGACCGAGTACCTCCCCTGCTACCTGGACCGGAGCGGCGGGTTCAACGTCTCCTGCAGGCTGTATATTCGCACTGGGAATGAAGGCGGTTTCAGCAATGGTGGGCTGGCATGGCGCGACGTGCCATTGCGATTTGCCATCCCCCGGCGCGAGGTATGCCACCTAGACTACAGTGTCCTTACCACCGACGGCGTCATGTACTACTGGGTCGCCAAGGACGCCCGGAACGTCTCTTGTCATTCGATCAACGAGAGGGAGCGCATCATGGCCACGTTCCTGTCTCCTCCAGGCCAGGCCGAGGGGGGCTGTGCACCACCGCGGGATGAGCTGAGTCGTCCTTCTCCGGGGCCGCCGGTTGCACCTGCTTTGCCAGGCAAACGCGCCAACAAGCCATCCGGCGAGCCCCGCTATTACAGAATTTAACTATAGGGGTGGCTCTAGAGTCTCTGTAGGGGCGGCTGCGCCAGCCACCCTTCCCAGGGTGTTCCTATAGAGGGTGTCTCTGTAGGGGCAGTTTTCTGACCGTCCCTGCAGTGTCCTTTGTAGGGGCGGCTGGTGTTTTCAGCCGCCTCTACAGTGCCCTCTGTAGAGGCGGCTGGTAATATCAGCCGCCCCTACAGTGGACTTCTGTAAGGGCGGCTGTATCACCAGCCGCCCCTGCTGTGTGTATTTGTAAGGGCGGTTCAATCAAGAACCGCCCCTAAAGTGGATTTTCCAGAAAAAAAAATAATTCAAATTCAAATCTGACCATATATATATATATATATATATATATATATATATATATAATTCAAATCAAGTAACAACAATCTTTTCTCAACTCTGACATATATTTAAGCATTTCCAGGAAGTACACCAATTCACACTAAACATTTTGACACTGGTTTCACAAAATCACAGCAAGTAAATACAACTAGAATAATAAAGTTCAAACATTTGCTCTAGCCAATACTGAAAATTCAGTACATTTGATGCAATCACAACTACACATGCAGATATTGCTACTGCTAAGAAATCTCCATGGAGACAAATAATTGTTAAGAATGTGAAAATAAGTGGTGTGTGATGTACCGTGAATCAGGAACAAGCACCAAGAATTTGCATAAATAACAGAGAGCATCTTACCATTGTTGGGTTAAATCCAAATCCACCGCCCATTTGCATCATTTTTTGTGCATCATCAGTTGCTGCACATCCAGGCAAAGATAATCAAACCACCAGGCAATGCAAAACAATAAATAAACACCACTAACAAGTTTTCCAGAGATAAGGGTGAGTATCATTACCGTTTTCTTCACCAAGGATCAGACTGAAAAGACCCCTCAAGCCGAATAAATTGAGGAAATACCTATCAATAACAGCAAACGTTAGAGATTATAGAGCTCCTAGTCACTATCATCAAGGTAATTCCTTGACACAAAGATAATAATTCTATACATACCATGAACGGCTGCTGACATAGCTGACAGCAACAGTGCTCAGATCAATCCCATTTTGCAGCATTCCCCTGAATCTCTGAGTCAACGGAAAGGGGATTTTCGCTGAAAAGAGATTGGCATATATGTGAGCATGCTTCAACTACATACAATTGGAGATAAGACATGATAACAAAACAGCAAAAGCAAATAATACACATGGGTATATGTCTGCTCTATTACGTGAAATCTGCTAACTACTAATTTCATCAGAAGTATTTAATTCTTAACAATGCATCTCTAAGTTTTATTGGGATCACAAGCCAGGAATTGAAAAGTGCTAGATAGAGAACGCGACTATAAAATAGCATTTTACCCTATCATTTTCAATTTAAAAGTAAAAAGAAATGACGACTTCAGAACATAGTTTTGGTATCAGGTTTCTTCCAAAGATTGCAAATTGCCATACCAAAATATGTTAAAAAATCATTTCCATCATCTATTGATGATACCATAAGATAAAGTTCAGGTGTGTTTATATACAATAACTTTGCAAAGACTCAAAAGGTAGAATTGAGCTTCTGGAATTAACAGAGGTGATCTTATAATAGCATGGAATTGGAATTAATATGAGGATTAAACTTGTAGCTGAGATATGAGAAGATCAGGTATCCCAAATCATATATATATTAAGCAAATATGGACATACCTGCAACAAAACCTGAAAAGAAAAAGTTCACCCATGCAAATGTAAGTGTCTGCAAAAAGACAAAACAGCATGTTAATATAAGGTAGAATGCCACACAGATAGCCAACTATACTGCAACACAAATAATTCAATGTGCAGAACATAGGACCTGAGGAACTATCATGGATAGATTCTTCTTCATCATGTCCATGGCCATGTTTGGATCTGAAAACATGGCTGCCTGAGCCTTCTGCGCCTCTTCCTTTGGAACATGAAGTAATCCATTTTCCTACAATCACTAGATATGGGATAAGGTAGCACCGACCAGTCCTGCTACATACCTACTATTGTAACCGCATTTCTAATACTCAATCACCAACACAGAAACCATGACAAAACAAACAAAAAGTAATACTACGTTTTGCTTCCTTGCATCTAACAATAGCAAGAGGAGGCCAACCCTTGCACCTAACAATAGCAAGAAGATGGCACTTGCTATTTCACAGAAAGGAAGCGCATTCTAACAGCTAAAATGAGCACCTCCCAGTCTAAGCTCTCTTACTCAAATTCATGACAACAATCGATGCTTACAACGTATAGCTAAGTAAAGACCTAACAGTAACAGTAAGTTTTGCTCGATTCTAAGTGGCACAGATCAATCCTTCCAACCAAATGAAACTGGTGTGTGACCAGTTGAAAGGGGAGACTAGTCTAACAGCAAAAATGAGGACCTACCAGCCTAAGCTCGTTTCTAAGAAACAAAATCATGACCGCAGATGCTTATACAACGTATATATAGCTAACAAAAGAACTAACAGTAGGTTATGTATGATTCTAAGTGGCACAAAGCAATCCTTGCAACCAAAATGAAACTAGTTGCGTGACGAATTGAAATGAAAGGATATGGGATAAGGTAGCACCGACCAGGTTCCTGCCGAGGACCTCCTCGGCGCAGTAGCCCGTGGCTTCCTCGGCCGCGGTTGACGTAGATGATGGGGCGGTCGGGCTCGGCGCGTCGGTGACGACGAGCCCGCCGCGGCCCGACGCTTGCAGCATGCCTTCAATCGCGAACGTGAACATCCCACCAGCTCCCCCTACGCCGCCACCTCCACCTCACCTCCCGCTCCTCCCCCTCCTCCTCCTCCTGCTCCTCCTCGCCGGGCGCCCGCCGCTGTCGGCTGCCGTCGACTTTCATTGTCCCACTCCATGGCGGTGCCGCCGAGGGGCGGCGGAACCCCTAGTTCTGATTTGGGCTCCCACCACGACGCAGGTCAGTCATGGATGCCACGCCTTGAGAGACGTGGCGCGGGTGGCCTAGGGTTTGGTTGGCCTGGCCTAGCTCTGGAGTATGGATTGGGTTTTGGGCGGAGGCCGAAGGGCGGAAGCAGCTGCAAGCGGAATGGACGGAGGTCGTGGGTTCGGGCTTGGCTTGGAATTGGGAGGAAGCCTCGCTATCTCGGGATCAAGCTGGTCGTGCGTCTGTCTGCTGACGCTGGCCGTAGTATTCGCTCGTACTTGTACTTTTTTTTGAAACATGTCATACTTATTTTCTTCCCAAACATTATTAAGGTAGATGTCACCAATGCTTATTGTGTTTATTATGGGTGCCAGGTTGCTTAAATGATTTTTTCGAAGATTCATGGTTTTTCTGCTTTTATTTGTACTGTATTTGCCAAGCTTTTCCGTTGATACTTTAGGAGCTAAAATCAAAGTTGTACAGGTCGTGAAGATTTACAACTTTTATTTTGGTCATCTTGTCATTTGACAAAATTTAAACCTTTTAAATTTGAAATTTTAAAAAATCACAAGTTCGAACCAAAATTTGAGATCCAAAATGATTTCAACATAAAAAGTGATGAATACCAAAGTTGTTCAACTCATTAATATCTACAACTTTTATTTTAGTCATCTTATCATTTGACAAAATTTGAACCTTTCAAATTTGAAATTTTGAAAAATGACAAGTTCGAACCAAAATTTGAGACCCAAATTGATTTCAACGTAAAAAGTGATGAATACCAAAGTTGTTCAACTCATGAATATCTACAACTTTTATTTTGGTCATTTCTTTATTTGACAAATTCTTAGCACACATTGTTCACTAATCTTACACATGTCTCATATAGTTTATAAAACCTTATGAGAGATGTGTCACATTTGTGAACAATGTCATTACCACTTTGTTATATAAAGAAATGACCAATACAAAAGTTGTAGATCTTGATGAGTTATTCAACTTTGGTATTTATCACTTTTTCAGCTGAAATCATTTTGGGTACCAAAATCTTGTCTGAAGTTGCATTTTACTGAAATTCAAAATTTAAATTGCTCAAACTTTTCATATGTATATATTGACAAAACCAACAAAATAAATTGATAGAGAATGATTTTAAAAATTTTTAGGAAAAAAATCATCAGATTTGGAGTTAGTATGAGGAAGAAAAACTAGTTACAAAGTTGCACCACAGATTAAAAAAAAAAATCACACTGTTCACTATGATCGTGTAAGGATCATCTAGAACAGTGTGATTTCTCTTTTTAATCTGTGGGTAAACTTTGTAACTAGTTGTTCTCCCTCATACTAACTCCAAATGTGATGGTTTTTTTCCTAAAAATTTCTAAAATCATGCTTCAGCATTTAGTTTGATCAAACTTGGATGTGACAATGTTTTACACATTTTAAATTTTAAAATTTGAAATTTGACAAGTTCAAACCAAATTTTAAAACCCTAAATAATTTCAGATGTAAAAGTGATGAATACAAAAATTGTTCAGCTCATCAAGATCTACAACTTTTATTTTGGTCATCTTATCATTTGACTAAATTTAAACCTTTCAAATTTTGAAATTTTAAAAAAGACAAATGAGCACTGCAGAGATGGCTGGTGATTGAGCCGCCCCTACAGATCAACCCCAACTGTAGGGGCGGCTCAAGTTACCAGCCGCCCCTACAGTGCCATCTGTAGGGGCGGCTGGGCTGCTGGGGCCCGAGGACGCCCACTGTAGGGGCGCCCCCAACCCTAGCCGCCCCTACAGTAAAAATGTCCCCGTTCCTACAGTAAGAATCTGCGCGTAGTGCCCGCACCGGCGGCCGGCCGTGCGTGCCCTGAAAAATGCTGGGCGAGCGGTGTCCCGAGCCATCTCGCGAGGCTGGCCGCCTCTACGGCTCTGCGCTGTCTCGGCCGAGAGAGCCCCCACGCCGCAGGGCGGTGCCACCTCTCGAGGCCACCGAGCGGGCCTCCGCACCACCAATCCACCATACGTGCAGGGGCGCCTTCACTCCAATGTGCGCGCCCTCCGGCCTCCACTGATCTGCCCGCCATCACGTACGTCCCCCAGTGTCCAGGTCCAGCCGCTACACTGCCCGCATGGTCGGGCTGCCTTGATGGGAGCCGTTCCCCGGGTCAAGGCTGAATGGCCAGGGCATTTTGGTTCATGTGACATAAAAATATTCATGTCTACTCAGTCAACTTATGGAAACGGGGCTTCACTTGGACGGCACAAATGCACGCTCAATTTAGGTGTGAAAATTAAAGTGAAGTGTTAAATTGGAAAATTCGAGCTTGGCAGAACCATAGAAAAAATAAATCCCTATTTTATGGGTATCATCAAATAGAGAATTTTCTCATGTTATTATTCTCAATGCATTAACGTGACAAGGAGCCAGGAATCTTCAAGGCCGTATACTAACGCTATTGGAAAACAAAGTACTCATGTTAGAGAGCATTTCACCAACATTTCCCAACAGAAAAAATACATTTAAATGACAATTATAAGAAAACACAAGAAAATAGTGTAACCGACCGGGAAAAAACAAAATTTTCAATCGTGTGTGTTAAAACACATAGGAAGACAACAAAATTCGTTGTCGCGATGTCATACCGACACGGAAATTATAACTTCATCTAAAACGAGTAGCTAACCTGAGGCTTGGACTACTTCAACCTTTGACGTGGCCTGAAAAGGGTCACAATTACCCACACTGGTACAAAAGCACATAGCTTGAAACCCTAGCAACAAACCTTTCCATCCCCTCCGCCACCCTATCCGTGCCTCTCCACATCACCACCCCTATCCCTTTCTGTCTCTCCACGCCATCGTCCTTGTTTCTGCTAGGATCTCCTCGAGCCATCGAGATGGTCTCGACTGCGGAGTCTGCCTCCATCTAGATCTCCTCAGGAGCGGAGATGGCATGCTGTTTGGATCTCCTCGAGATGTCACGCCCACGAGAGCGACGTCTAGCTTCCGTGGGTTATGCGTGCATTTGGCGGTGTCGTCCATGTCAGCCAGTTGTTATATACCTCTAATGTGCTTCTAATGTAGCCTTGTGGTTTGTACGATTCAAGCTGCTATATGAGTGAGTATAAAATTAAATTTAATAAATTGTCTATATTTGAATTTCCCTATCGACATAATATTGGCAGATATAGAATCTAATTTCCTTGATGGTAAAAATATATTTTTTTGTCTTCGTTCAAAAGGGATAAAATACTCGACCTGACTGTTGGGAATTTTTCTATCGATGAAGAATGGACAGTAAAAAATTTGTTCACCGACAGGTAAACTTTTTATCCCTGCCGCTGTTGTTCTATTGGTGCTTCCCTATCCGTAATTTCCATTTACCTGTCGGTTTTGCACTGACACGGAAATTTTTATAAGATAAGCCAGTGCCATACTATCCACTGTGGATTGTGGTACTCCATCAATTTTTCAGTAACAGGGTTTTTAATGGGTTTCAAGTTTAATATACACAACTAGAAAAACAATTAAGGAGACAACCTCTCCGATTAATAGAGGCGGTCACATTTACGAACCGTCTCCATAAATGGTCAAGCAGCTTGTAGGAAAATCCTGCCTCTATTAATCATTTTCAAAGGCGGACATCCTAAGGTCATTACCTCTATTAATAGTCGATTATCGATGGCTGCCTCTTCAAATCGCTATTAACAGATGAAGATATTCTAAAGGTCGGCCTCCAGGAATAGTTACATAAAAAATAATCTATAACTTTTTCATATGAAGTGGAACAAAGACAAACTTCATATCATAATTGAAACCCATGACGAAGACTCTAACTTTGTAGTTCAAAAGTTTTTCATTTGAAACTATTTGGAGTCCCAAAATGTCGTTTTAAGTCCCGAGATTTTGAAATTTAAAATTTTTGAACAATCTTAGATGTTGATATTTTATATACCACAGTTGTAGTTGTCAATACAA